AAACCTTGAGAAAGAATCTGGTTTGTTATGGGAAGAAGGTATGTCTGCTCTACAAACACCGTCCTGCAGAGAATGGTGTGGCCTTCAAGGTGAATCAGACTGAGTGAAAACTTGAGTAATCAAATCAGTAAATAGGACAAATTAATATATAGTAGAAGAGAAATCTAAATTTTCCGACAACATCTAAACTCCATCGCATACCACCCATTTCTTGGGAACCATTGTTTTGTGCCTTTTGACTCTTGATATTCAGTTATTTATTTTTTTTTTTACTCTGGTCTAGTTGGGAAAATACGTTCTTTCCTCATGCCCAAAAAATCCGACCTCCAATCATGTGGTCTGGTTCTGGTAAATCTCCTTAAACAGAGATAAAATAGACTAATTAACAGGATCCCATAGTTAATGGAAAGCTTTAGTTTAAGTTATTGGGGTAAATAGTTACCTTGGTCAGTAAGTGACTGGGGGCCTCTATGACCCCACTGACCGTTAAACCCGTTTAAACCCGGGAACAATGGGCTTTCAGTGGCAGTGGGAACAGCTCGCTGATGCGTTTCTACCCGGGTCAAACGACTCGGCTAGCGACCCGCGTTAAAATTTCCTCAGTTCTAATTGGCATGCCGGGGGAACATTGAACGCAACGTACTGACGTCAACACACGGCGCCAGTCGCTTCTGATCTACAAGCAGAATCAGCTCTGTTTCCATTGGATAAACATGGCAGCCCTGGCTTCCTAACATGTTGCTCTCCATTGTTTACTTTCACACATCATCAACGCTAACCCAGCGTGATGATGTCACTAGATGCGCAGCTGCGGGGGGTCAGAGGCCGCTTAGACCAGCTTTTTATGCCAGTAGGAAAGGAACCAGATGCTTATTGTTAGCGGGTCGACCATGTTTGAAAAAACGCGTTAACCCGCTATTTTCAGTGGGAAAGAGGTTTAAGGAGGGGTTAAAGATCAGCAATGTTTTTAGCTACTTGGTTGTTTGTCCGGTCCATCCATATTTACCTCTGTTTATCTGTGCATCCTTATCTATAGATGTATAGTCCATAGAAGAGAAGTCAGTTCCTGAAGTCATGATGTTATTGGAGACATTTTCTGAGGTTACGACAAATCATTTAGCACTCCGCTGTAACTTGAATTCAGCAATTACACATTTTTCTAAACGATTGCTTCTTTAGGTAAATGTCTGTTGGTTGGTTGGTCAGAAAAGCTCTGATCTAAGCTGATATCTGACTCCTGAGTTAATTAAAGCCTGCAATCTCTGCTCCCCCCCACAGAAACTGTTGGGCAGCCATACCCCCTCCTCCGTTCAGCTCTGGGTCTCCTACAACCGTCAGCCAATGAAAGCAGCCCAGTTTATGACCCGCCATCCCATCACGGTGAGTTTTACCATGATTCCAGGTGCTTCAGATCAAGTTGGGGTAGAATCCCGCAGATGGGAGGGATTTACGGGGCCTGGAGTGAAGTCTTGCCTCTCCCCATCCACCCAACAGGAATACTACATTGCAGATGCATCCGAGGACCAGGTGTTTGTGTGCGTCAACCACATAAACAACGCCACGCACCTCTACATCTCCGACACGCAGGGCCTGTCCTTCTCCCTGTCGCTGGAGAACGTTCTCTACTACAGTCCTGAGGGCTCGGGCAGCAACACACTCATCAGGTACCTGAAACACACACGTCAGACATCATCAACCCTAACCCAGCGTGATGATGTCACCAGACGCACAGCTGTGGGGGGTCAGAGGCCGCGCAGCTGCCAGGGAGCGCTTAGACCAGCTTTTTATGCCAGTAGGAAGGGAAGCGGATGCTTATTGTTAGCGGGGCGACCATGTTTGAAAACACACGTTAACCCGCTATTTTCACCGGGAGAGATATTTAAGGTGGGAGGTTTAAGGTGGGGTACAGCCGGTGCTAACTTTAGCCTGTCTGCAGGCCACGCATCTGTCAATCCAAAAAATATGATTGACAGATGACCGTTGATATATGATGGGCCAAATTTAGGTGTTCAGGCTGACGTATGACTATTGTGCATGGGAAAACTCGAGATGCAGTTTATTCAATATATCGCCCACCTCTACTTGAAATAAGACAATGCTATAGATTTTCCTATTCTAAATGTAAATTGTTTTGCTTCTCATGTACCTCCTAAATTTAAGAAAAAATTGATTTAATTTAAGAAAAAAATGACTTATTTAGATTT